TTAATAGGTTTCTCATGAATTCTCATTAATGCAGAGTATTCTATATTATGGTTGTATAAATTTTTAACACCTCATGGAAAGAGTTTTCATAACAAGTACACTGGGATTTAGTATATCCTACATGATTTCTGGATTTAGCAATTATTCTGCTTATGTTCTCTTTATATATCTAGAAATTTTCTACCATTCTGAACAGGTAATGGCATCATTACTAATTGTTCAACTATTACTATTAGTTTAGTTTTAATTTTATCTATTTTTTTCTTAAACTTAACTGGGCTATGGGGTATGTTCAGCTTGTTTGTAATTTTCTATGAAAGAAATTCTTGGAGGAATGGTATAGGATAAGGAATATGACGACTTCCTTTGTTCAACAGAACTAAAAGCTGACTGAAGTTAAAGGAGAGAACAAATAATGAGTCCACTGACAGAACATTCTAGAAAGTTGTAGAGTTCTGAAAAAGATTGTAGAATATATTGGATGCTACTATATACCAGAAGAATGGAATACCACAAATAAATGAAGACACATTAATCAAAAAATGATGCTTGGTGCTGGGCATGATGGTGCATAACTATAGTCCAAGCAACATGGGAGGCTGAGACAGGAGGATTGCAAATTTGAGGTCAACCTTAGCAACTTAGTGAGGCCCTGTCTCAAAATAAAAAATAAAAAGGGCTAGGGATGTGGCTCAGTGGTAAAGTGCTTCTGGGTTCAATCCCTAGTACCAAAACAAACAAACAAAAAACAAAACCAAAACAACAACAAAAATTTATGCTTAGAAAATGAACTATTAATAAGTAAATAAACATGGTTATATTTCCACATCATAAAACATACACATAATATAATGCATGTGTAATATATATATGACAGATATTACATACATATGTATGTCCATATGAATAAATTATTGGGACAATTAAGTGATTAATATTAAAGATGAAATCAAAAGAATGAATTATCTAAAGGGAAAAAGAAGAAATGAATTTATCTGACCACATATAAATTTTAAATATTTTCATGTCAGTAAAAATGAATTAAAATTAGTGAATAAACTGAGATAATCATCTGTAACATTGTTAGACATAAGTTCAATAAAAATACATATAAAGAGCTTTCAAAATTGGTAAGACACTGTACTTAATCAATACGAGTTACCAAGAAAAATATAAAATCATTTTTCACTTTTCAAATGAAAGAAAATTGAGAATAATTCATGTTTAGAGGAGTGTGATGAAATGGAAACTCAGGTAATGCTGATGGTAATGTAAATTGATTTTATATTTCCAGAAAGCAATTAGATTATTTGATTGTGTGCGTGTATGTGTGTGGTCTATTGTAGGACGATAGTCTGGAAATGTGATTTTAAAAAACAATGTGACTAATATTTCTCTGCAAGAAATATTATCCTAGGATCATCTAAAATAGTGATAATGCTGTGAAAAGTAGTTGTCAACATTATAGGACTAACTTTATTATTGAGTAGCCACTGAATGGAATATCTTGTCATAATTAAACATGATTTTTGAAAATTTGTCAGTTTCTTGAAACAAGCTCATAATGCAATCCCTACTATGGAGGCACAATGTCAAATTATCAAATTATCTACACAACAAGTAATGTTTTCATATAGGAGGAACAAAATAAAATATTCCAGAGTATACTTTCTTGTTTCTTTACATGAGCATTAGGTATTTTTAAAATCTGGGGAGACAAATCATTTAAAAACTATCCACAGATTTAGAAGGCACAGTGGAGAGCACACAGAAGGCATTTGGTTGACCTTTACAGAAATGATTTGATTTAAAATGAAGAATCTTGTCATAGAAGAATAGTCAAATCTTTGAGCCGAGAGACCTCTTGCAGTTTTCTGGGTGCAGTCATCCACAGGATGCCCATCTCTGAGTTGAGCCAATCTGTGTCTGTGTACTCCTTAGTTGGAGCCACCTTGGCATCATGCCAATCTATCTCCTGCAGCATCTCTGCTCAATACTACTTGCAGGCTCTTCCCTGTGTCGATTTCCTTCCTACCCCAAAAGATATTCTTAATTTTATATTAGATTTCTTTAAGGGTGATCTTCAAGAAGAAAATCTTAGGGTATTAATAATTTTACCTGTAAGCTATCCAAAAGTTGTAAACAACTGAAAAGAAAAATGAAGTTGCTCAAATACTGCCTATAGAAGTACTGCTATATAATGTTTAAGGGCTTGGTTCTATGACACCTGCCCTGAGCAAGTTACTGTCACTAGTTTCCTTGTATGTAAAATGGGCTTAATAATAGTACCTACCTCATAAGGGGAGGGTTATTTTTTTTTTGATACACATATAAGAATTGGCCTATAGTAGATGTTCAATAAAAATGAAGGACTTCTGGTTTCAGGACAAGATGGAGAAAATATACTTCTTATTCATACTGCTAAACACTGTTAAAATCTAGGACATTACATTTCAGTCACAGATAAGAAGATATTGAAATGAAGAAAAGGTTAACCTTATAGGAATTTGGGGACAGGAAGAATAGCATGCAATCCATTCCCTGGGTTTTCTTTTTTGTCTTATATATCCAAGACTGGTTGCTGGAGATGCTGGCAACCTAAAAACACCAGTGGCTGCACACTAAAAAAGAAAAGAAAAACAAACAAACAAAATCTTCTCACTCTTGCAAGTGAACCAAGAAATAGTTTCTATTTTAGGTTATAGAAAAATAAAAAAAATAGGAAGAGAAGGAAGCATGCAGTTGGGGTGGGCTGAGAGGTTAGACGTGGTGTGAAATGATTAGTCTTCAACAACTTATTTTTTCCCTTGTAGAGATATCCACTAGACTGCTGGCTATAAGGGTGTGGAGTTTGGAATGAGATCAGAGATGGAAGAAAAAATGGAAGGTGAAGTCAAGGAAGTGTAGTAATCACCCAGGGAGAGAAGGTAGCAAAAGCCAAGGGGGCATATGGAATTGGCAAGATCACAGCTAATTAAAGATGAGGCCAAGGAAGAAGATTCCACAGGAGATATTTGAGAAAGAGCAAGCAAAGAAGTAGGTACATAAAGTAAATTATAGAGTCAATCTTCCATGAATCTTTGGATCAAAGGGAGTCCCTGCACCTGTTTTTTTTTTTTTGTTTGTTTTAATATCATCGAGCATAATTAAATATTGAGCAAAAAATAGTGATAAAGAAGCCATAAATTTAAAAAAAAATCAGAATAGTGATATCATTAAGAAGTCTACAGGCAACTTATGAAGTACACAGGTCTGGGAAGGGGATGGGGTGGAACCCACTGAGAAAGAAGCAAAGGTGGATAGAAGAAAAAAGGGGAGGAAATGAGAGAAAAAGGAGATTATCCAGTAAGCAGTCTATTAATATTGAATATGAAATATTTTCTTTTCGGAACCTGAACAAAAAAAGTGAATATTTATTTTCATGGGAAATTCTATAAAATACCTTACTTCTCCTAGAGAATGTCAAGCAGATTTTACCTTTCTTTTTGATGTATTAGTTAATTTTGGCTACAATTATGTTGCTTAATGAGTAAGGACACAATTTCTGCAATTTGATTTTTGTATATTTGCAGATTTGTTCTGAGGTCAGACGATCTAAGATGGGCATAGTTGGGAGCATTGTTCCATGACATATCTGGTTAGACTGAACACTCTGTTTCTTTTGGATTCTGTTCCCAATTGCAAATTTATATTCTGGGTGCCATGCTGAGGAAGCAGATATTTCTGGGAAAGGTAGAGGTGCAGGAGAGCAGCAGCCCAATCATACAAATGATTTCCAAGCCTCCATTGACTTTGTATGAGCTAAATGAAGTGCCTGGGCAAACCAAAATCAAGAGGTGTATTCTCCCATTCACAGAGCAGGGAGCAAGGTGAAGATACAAAGTGTTTTTGGTGGAAGTAGAGCAAGGGGAATAGACAACATTTTTGAACAAATATTGAATCTATCACAATTGGAAATTACGTATTGTATTAATTGCATATTGTGCTATGTTATAGTCATATTTGGTATTAGTGAATTGTATAGTCATATTCAGAATTATTGTTTGAGCTGATTAAATGGTTTCCCTCCTACTGTGTTCTGTATCTGTTTTTTCCCTTATACTGCCACTGTACTTATAGTTGCTTTTAATGTACTGCCTCGTTTCACACAGGTCCTTTGTGAAGCCTTGAAGGCAATTCTGAGCTTTTAACAGAACTTTTTTTCTTGCTTTTTATGTTCTCCTGTTACTTTACCTTGTTATAATATTTGGCAATCTTGCATATTTTTTTGAATCCCTTCCTTCTAAAAAAAAGGTGGCAGATACAAAACTTTTTTTTTAAATGAGCCGTATTTTCTTAAACAAGCATCTCTGTTTAGCTATAAGATGTCTGTGTTTCAAAGAAAGGCTTTGATAAATTTAATCGCAAAAGGTTTTGAAAATTATTTAATATTTTATGTGCATGTCCCATTCTTTATTTCAGTTATGAAGCATTTCAGATATGCAGAAAAGAGCTTTTCTATTTGATATGCAATTGATGTGTTCACATTAAATTAAAACAAAACATACACATAACCCTTTCAAAGAATTGGATTTGGCAGTAAGTTTATTTGCAGCAAGTACCAAAACTTCAGTCATACATCTACCATTTCTCTTTCCATAATCTCTAATGCTTCTGCATTGCACTTATATAGGATTCATTTCATCTATGTAAAATAGATTACTTTGGCATTCTGTACTCTTGTATCATCCTAAGCCATAAAATCCACAAAGATGTCAGTTTGAAGTGCAAAATATATTTTTCCCAGTGTACATCAAAATAAATACATATTTATTAAAATAAAAATGTGCACTCTGTGCCATCTTAAATATGTACTTTACAGCCATCATTACCTAGCATAGCATGCACTAGAAAACACAGTTTTACAGCCAGCTCTGCCAAACTAGAAATAGAGTAACCTAGTTAAGCAATAACATATTTTGGAAAGAATTTCTCACTTTTACTTCACAATTCTTTTTCAGGTTTGTGGAAGGAATGCTTAACATTTGTTATAATGCCATTGATCGTCATATTGAAAACGGTAAAGGGGATAAGATTGCTATCATCTATGACAGTCCTGTTACAAATACTAAAGCAACTATAACTTATAAAGAAGTCCTGGAGCAGGTAAAGTCATAAGCTTTCTCTTTATATTAGAAGATCTATGCACATGTTCTCATTATGCAAACTCTAAAATATTTTACCATGTTTTCCTTTAGATGCACCTTGCAAATGAATGCAAGTGTGTGAACTCATTTGAACTGTTTTTAAAAAAATATTTATTTTTTAATTGTAGTTGGACACAATACTTTTATTTCACTTATTTATTTTTATATGGTGAGCACTCTACCGCTGAGCCACAATCCCAGCCCCTCATTTGAACTGTTTTTAACCCTTTAATTTATACTTCACAGCACTGGAAGATGTTTGTTTTGCAGATAGAGGTGAACTGATCTCGAGAATATGTCTAAGTCCGCTCCCAGCCTTTGTTCTTCACCTTAGTGCCATCACCATGGTTGAAAGTGGCTACTCCTCATTCTTGCAGGATCCAAGAGGCTCTGCTCATTTTAGATTATCCCATAAGTGATTCCAGAATTCTCTTCTGAAGAAACAATATATTTCTCTGTCTTGCTTAAAAGTCTTTCTTGGCATGAACACAACTCCTTTTAGTCCTTCAGATACTCCTGGCCCCTTATAGCTCCTTGCATATGCTCATTATTTTGTTTTATTTGCTCTTTTTAAAATTCTGTCTCATCTATGTAGTTCTTAGGTAGATCATGATGTTGACAGATGATTTATAAGATTTTTCCTCTTTTAACATAAGAGAAGATTTTGAATTAGTTTTCAGATGTAATTATAAAAGTGGATATTGTAGACTGTGGGAAAGTTATTTTAACTGTGAGTCATGGCATTTATTTGTATGTGATTTAAAGGGAGATAATGCTGTAGGGCAGGGTTTCTCCATCTTGACACTACTGACATTGTTGCAGGAGAAGAAATATCTCAACTAAGGACCAGCAGGATTCTTGGCATACATGACAGAAAAGAATTTAAGTACATGCCATTCAAAGTCATAGACAGGTTTATTTAGAAAAGTAGCTACACATTCAAGGGAGAATGTTCAAAGGCATCAAAAGAGAGATGCTTTTGTTGAAAAGCAAGTAATATGCACTTGAGGGAGAATGCTGGCCATCTCCACAGGCACAACAGCAACCCATTGGTGTGGGGTATTAATATTTATAGAGGGTCCATGCTAGGAGGCAGGGTGGAGCTCCACAATTTGCCCCCATTTTTTTTTTTTTGCTTGTGCATTTTCCTTATTTTACAAGGGCAAGGGTCAAGGGCATGTCTCTCAAGCTCAAGATTTATAACTGTGCTTTCTGCATCTCTGAGGCTTGTGGGCATTTCCTTTAAGATTCAGGATCTCTCTCTATTCTAAATTTCTATCTCAGTGTTTTGGACCAGAAATTCTTTTTGAAGAGAACTGTTATGGATATTTTAGGGTGATTAGCTGCATACTTACGCACTGGATGCTAGCAGCACCCCCATCTCCCAGGTCATGAAGACTAAATATGTCTCCAAACATTGTCAATGTCCCCTGGGTGGTAAAATTGACATTGGTTATAAAGCAATGTCCCCTGGATGGTAAAATTGACGTTGGTTATAAAGCACCGGTGTGCAGAGTCTGCCATGCTGTCACTTGGCTGAACAGAAGTATGGTAAGAAGGCTATGTGTTGAGTTGGGTCTTTAGAGTTCTGGAGCCCTGCCTTTTATTTTTTTCTGAAACATGCAATGACCTTGATCTCCTGGGGCTCGCTCTTGTCATAAAACTAAAGACTAAGAAAAGGGACACTGCAAAGCTTATCCAATATTCTTGGTTCTCTAAATCTAAAGACTTAACATCTTAACCATCTAGGTGGGGCTTCTCTCCAGTTCAAGGATTAGGAAGGGCTGACAACCTTGCAGAACTCAGCCAAAGATAACTTTCAAAAGAACAGCCCTGTTAGAATGCTAGGGTTTGGAAGCATTTGCTTTTAAATGAAGGGGTTTTTTTTTTTTTTTTTTTTTTGAGTTAGATTCTCTGCTTTTGTCTATTGAATCCTATTTAAGAGTTTCATTTGGTTTTTAGGTAGCTTCACCCATTCTCTTGGGCTCTCTGAAATTATATTATTTTGCATCAGCATGTTCCTGTTTATCTTTGCAAAAAAAAATTAAGAAAGGCAACTCAGACAAAATAATTACCTCCCCAATGCTTGAGTTGTTGTAAACAAGAGAGAAGAGTTAAATCAGTTTAATCAGGCTGTGTATCAGACAAATTGCAGCAATAGTTCTCAACTTTAGCTAATTCAGACATCAAAAGAACTCATGAAAAGGGAAGAGTGAAGTACCAGTCCCAGAAAAATGGCATACCCTAGGGGAGAAGGAGCAAAAGTGAAGCATTAAGGAAAATCCACTGATTGTCCATTACCTTGACTTGTTGCCTTGAGTCAATCCTTCTATAGTGAAAGACAAAGCAGGAGCATCTAGTTGGACAAACTTATGTCACATATCTAGAGTACCAGGTCTTGGGCAGGAAAGAGTTTATTGTCTTTTGATTTCATTATGGGAATTGGGACTCTGTCTCCTTCTAGGACTCAAGGTAAATTCCAGTTTAATAATAATGAAGTTCAAATGCTAAGCAGCCCAAGACAAAGACAAAACAAAACTGCTCTATCTCATTTGGTATATTTATTGGTCTATAAGAGGGAATTGCATATTTGTGGAATGCAGTATGCAGAAACAGAGCTCACAGTGGGCTGTAAGGTGCACCATTATCAAATGTGTTATTCATGTGAGGCTGAGTTTTAATATAAGAGATAATAGAAATTTCAGGAAAACATATTATACTTTGTTTTATTTTAGCTGTGCATTTTCTGCTTTTAGAAGAGGTGTACGGTATGGTATCTATGATTAAAAACTTGTTTCTATGGTTTGGGCATATTGCTGCAGTCTCGTTTTATGAATATGTAAGCCCAAGACACTTTTAAATTTTAATTGGAATACAGATTTGGAAGTTTGTTTACATATTGTAAAAATATTATCTATATCAACATCTTGAATTTGATATATACCCTAACATCAGAGTCCAAGAAAAAGCTTTAGAGAAACCTAAGATGAGAAGAGTTATTGCCAGTCTCATTTTTTGGTGCTTCCTCTTTAAATTCATTTATTACATAAGTGTATATGATAATTACACACGGATGTTTTGCTTAGAAGCTTTTTTGCTAACTCATCTTACTTTCAAATATTGAGTCTAGACTCTTAGACTCTTGACGTTTGTACTAGTTCACTGGTTTCAGTTTAGCCTGACATCAAAGTACTTAAAAGGACTGTTTCTCTCACCCGCTGACAGCCTCTGACTCTTCAGGCTTTTCTTCTCCAAAGTACTAAAGGAAGAACTGTTAGGAAAGAGAGAGAGCCTTGTGTGCTACTTTGATTACCTGCTTCCCTGTTCCCTGTGGGTTTTATTTCATCAAGCAGGGAAAGCCAAGAAAGAAAGATTTAATAGGTAATGCCACTGAGAACAAACAAAAAGAACTGCCTCTGTACATCACTTATTTAATCTCCCCTGTTTCATTTCTCCTGGGAGTTTCTGGCTAGGTAAAACTTGATTAAGTTAGCTAGCATTTTTTTTTTTTAAATTTAATTAGTGAAACAACAAATTGTAGGCTAAGTTGCCTTAGTGATGTGGACAATCTGAAAAATTTCCAGAATGATTCAGAAGCAGAGCTTTTGAGAAACTGTGATCTATTTTGTCAATCTGAATATTTTAAACAATCTTTCACCAAGGCTTTTGTATAGGGGGATTTCACCCCCATTTTAAGACCCATCTTTCATTCAACAAATATTTTTTTTTCATATGCCAAACCCTATGAAGAGCAAAGGAAGCCATTTCATACTGTCAAGAAGCTAAGAAAGCATATGTACATAGACCATTTCAATGTAAAACAAGGTACATGACAGAACTGAGTGCTACGTTCTGTGCAAACACAATGGGAAAGCAGCCGACTTACATTCCTTTATATCGAAATACTTGTGATAACTTACAAAGAGAAAAGGTGTATTTTGGGTCATAATTTTGGAAAGTCCGGGCCAAGATCAGGTGGACCTATTATTGCTCTGGGCCTATGATAGGTACATTGGATGGCAATGGCAGGGAGTGTGTGATGGAGCAAACTCTTCACCTCATGCCTAGGAAGCAGAAGAGAAAGAGGAAAGGGCCAAGGTCATACAGTCCCATCAAGGGCTTGCATCCCATGACATAAGGGCCTCCCATTAGGACCTACCTCCAAACAATTCCACCACCTCCCAATAGCATCACTTTGGGGATGAAGCCTTAAACACATAGACCTTTGAGGGACATTTAGCAAACTAACTGTATCATCACCAGCCCAGCCAGGGGAAATAGGACCTAGGAAGGCTTTTTGGAAGAGATGATTCCTAAAATCAATCCAATTCCCTTTGCTTTGTTTTTCCTTCTCCCTCCAGATCTCTTGTAGGTCATATTACCTGAATGTCATTTTCTGAGTGAGATCTTTCCTGACCATATTAACTATACATATTCTCATCTACAGCAATTGTACCTCTCTATTTTGCTTTCCTTTTAACTTTAGTATTTATTACTTATTGTAATTCTTTACATTGCATGTACCTTTATGGCTTTATTGTTGCTTCCTCTTCCACTATTTTCAGTTCTATGAGGGCAAAGATTTTTGTTTGTCTGCAGAAGTGACTGACACATAGTAAATATTTATTGAATGATGAATGAATCAATGAAATAGCACTTGAAGTTTCTAAGTGACAAGTTTCTTTTATTGCAAGAAGTTCTTATCTTTAAATTATATCAGCAGTAGAACTTGATCATCCTTGTAAATAAATTGTAACTTTTACCTGTGAAAATCTTTAAGTTATTTACATTCAATTTGGTGGTTCATGATGAGAATTTCCTCTTTTAATATCTCACATGTAAGTGTCAAAAGATCTGCATTCCCAAAGACAGGAATATACTTAATATGTCCCTCTCTAAGTGTTTTCAAATTATTTTGTTATCATATTAAATCACAGTGAAATAAAATGGGTTTGTGTG